AAAACTACAAAAAATTAGCTGGGCATGGTGGTGTGTGCCTGTAATCCCAGCTACTTTTTTGTAGTTTTAGTAGAGACGGGGTTTCACCATGTTGACCAGGATGGTCTCGATCTCTTGACCTCGTGATCCACCCGCCTTGGCCTCCCACAGTGCTGGGATTACAGGCTTGAGCCACCGCGCCCGGCCTCAGATTTAGCCTTTCATCCAAGGGCTAAGATGTTTAAAGTATAGCCACTCAAACTTCTTTTTATCCTTTCAAACTCAAGTGCACCCACATTCATCATCTTTACCACCACATTGTTTCCCCTCTCCAGGTTCTTCATTTTTTTGCAGGTTTGTAACTTTCACTTTTTCTTTTAAGGTTATCCAGTTGCCAGCTCTTATTAATTTTCCCTGTTTTTATTCATTATTTTTATTTATTAAGATGGAGTTAGCCGGGCGTGGTGGCTCATCCCTGTAATCCAAGCACTTTGGTGGCCAAGGCAGGTGGATCACCTGAGGTCGAGAGTTCAAGACCAGCCTGACCAACATGGTGAAACCCCGTCTTTATATAAAAAATAAAATTAAAAAGAGATGGAGTTTTGCTCTTGTTGCCCAGGCTGGCATGCCACAGTCTCAGCTCACTACATCTGCTTCCCTGGTTCAAGTGATTCTCCTGCCTCAGCCTCCCAAGTAGCTGGGATTACAGGCATGCACCACCATGCCTGGATAATTTTTGTATTTTTAGTAGAGATGGGGTTTGACCACATTGGTCAAGCTGGTCTCGAACTCCTGACCTCAGGTGATCCACCTGCCTCAGCCTCCCAAAGTGCTGGGATTACAGGTGTGAGCCACTGCGCCTGATCTAATTTTTCCCTTACAGAGGTAAATAGATTGTTTCCCTACTTATACTACCATTACTTTCTTTATTCATTTTTATTTGGAGAAAGAGTCTCACTCTGTTGCCCAGGCTGGAATGCAGCAGTGCGATCTCAACTCACTGCAACTTCCGCCTCCCAGGTTCACGTAATTCTTGTGCCTCAATTCTCATGTAATCCCAAGTAGCTGAGGTAACAGGTGTGCACCACCACACCTGGCTAATTTTTTGTGTTTCTTTTTTTTTTTTGAGACAGAGTGTTGCTCTGTCGCCCAGGCTGGAGTACAATGGCATGCTCTCAGCTCACCGCAGCCTCTGCCTCCCGGGTTCAAGCAATTCTCTTGCCTCAGCCTCCCAAGTAGCTGGGATTACAGGTGCAGGCCACCACGCCTGGCTTTTTTTTTTTTTTTTTTTAATAGATTATAGACCAGGATAATTTTTGTATTTTTAAGTAGAGACGGGTTTCACCATGTTGGTCAGGCTGGTCTTGAATCCCTGACCTCATGATCTGCCTGCCTCAGCCTCCCAAAGTGTTGAGATTACAGGCGTGAGCCACCATGCCCAGCTAATTTTTGTATTTTTAGTAGAGACGGGGTTTCACCATGTTGGCCAGGCTGGTATCAAACTCCTGGCCTCAAGTGATCTGCCTGCCTCGGCCTCCCAAAGTGCTGGGATTACAGACGTGAGCCACTGTGCCTGGCCACCAAATTAATTTTTATGCAATCTAAGGCAATTTAGATTTGTATGAATCTGTTTAGATTTCTGACCTGGTTTCTGGGCTGTTCTCTGCTCTAGGCTTATATCTTTCTTTCAGATTATAGGATGATCAACTTTCCAAACATTAATTTTTCAATGCTACCTAAATGAGGCACAGAAAATATCTTTTTTTTTTGGCGGGGGGAGACGGAGTTTCACTCTTGTTGCCCAGGCTGGAGTGCAATGGCGCAAACTCGGCTCACCAAAACCTCCACGTCCGGATTCAAGCGATTCTCTTGCCTTGGCCTCCCAAGTAGCTAGGATTGTATTAGATGTTAATGGTTTCCCATACTGGAGGATACTGTGATTTATGATTTACGTTCTGGTTTCTCAACCCATCACAGCCATTCTTCTTCACAGTATGGCTATGAGATGACTGCCTATAGTCGCTCCACACTCTTCAATTTCTAGAATTAACCCTGGCCAGAAATGAGAGATTTAAGAAACTCTGAGGGTGGGGACAGTGGCTTATGCCTGTAATCCCAGCATTTTGGGAAGCACCAAGGCGGGCAGATTGCTTGAGTCATGGGCAACATCGTGAAACCCTGTCTCCACAAAAAATACAAAAATTAGCAAGGTGTGGTGATGTACTCCTGTAGTGGCAGCTACTCAGGAGGCTGAGGTAGGAGGATCACGGAGTCAGGGAGGTTGGGCCTACAGTGAGCCAAGACTGAACCACTGCACTCCAGCCTGGGTGGCAGAGAAAGACCTGTCCCAAAAAACAAACCAACAAACAAATACATGATGCCCCTATAAGGAAGCAGAATTCAGATGTTAACTGAATGATGATCAACCTTTTGTTAGAAAATACTATGTTTTATTAAAAAATTAAAGTCACCTTGACAATAAAATCACCAAACTTTTGAAACATTATTTTCTAAACATCTTTACCTTGTTGGATGCTTTTTCTCCTACTGGTTTACATAATGTATAAGCTGGCCCTTTAATATGATCTACTCTGAATCATAACAAAGCAAAATTTAGAAAGAATAACAAAAATAATTCTATCAAAGATGATCGAAATGATCCCTAGCAACTATAATCATAAGTTACAATAAGTGAAATTGAAAATGACTGATTCAATGGATTACCCGCCCAAGTTATTTGTTTAAATGCCAAGAAGCAACTTGCTTACCACGAAAGTGTTTCCATATTTTCTTTTATTTTCTTTACTAGAGAGAAATCTCAGGTGCATTTATTATTCATATGATTAAAGCACACCTCATTAAATTCTGCAAAAAAAAAATCTATAAAGCATATTTGGAATTAAAACTGAAAAAAAATCAAAAACCCTTACTTTGTTCTTGGAAAACTTTATTTCAGTTTAAACAACAAAGCAAATGATATTTATGTCATCCAGGGACAGAGGGAGAGTACAGTCATCCTTCATAGCTGTTTCATTGCTGAACTCCAAACAAGAGATGTAATCTAGGTAAAAGACACTTATTATTCCTGATTATATTCACCTCACAATCTGAGATCATAAAAATTAGTCAAATATATTAAAAACAGATTTATGTGAAGTCACCTCAGATAAGCTGAGAAAGTCATGTCTAATGCTTTGGAAAATTCTGTTTCTACTGAATACTCAAATGAATTTTAAGGATCAGGAATATCTTTATGGGGGTTTTTTAAGTGTTAGGAACAATGATATGCACTTTCATCAGTTTGCTGTAATTATTAGGATTCAAGATGGTATTTAAAATCTAGATGTAGGCTCAGTTAGTTAATGCCAAAATTGGAAATCTTATATTTTTTTTTGAGGAAACACAAAAATATGACTATTTGGATCTTGTCTTAATTTACAATTGATAAGTTCACTTTTAATGCTTAAAAAAAGGGACACGGTAGAATTGTTACACACTTGAAAAAGGTCTCAAATAGAATGTTCCCATTAACAATAGCAACTCAGAAATCTAATTCACTCTTCAGGATTTTATTTCTGATCAACTAATCAACTTTTATTTTCTTGAGCCTGACTGCTGCTAATTATGTATAACTTGCCAGATAACTACACATCACTGATTTCCAAGCTCTTCTTCCATTTTATATTTCCCCTTTAACTAAGATGTACCTAAAAATAACAAGACACTACCAAATAGCTGCAGTGGCCTTCAAAATTTCTTTTAGTGGCTAGGTGTGGTGTCTCACACCTATAATCACAGCACCTTGAGGCCGAGGCAGGTGGATCATCTGAGGTCAGGAGTTTGAGACCAGTCTAGCCAACATGGCAAAACACTGTCTCTACTAAAAATACAAAAACTTAGCCGGGCTTGGTGGCAGACATGCCTGTAATCCCAGCTACTTGGGAGGCAGAGGCAGGAGAACTGCTGGAACCCAGGAGAGGTTGCAGTGAGACAAGATTGCACCACTGCACTCCAGCCTCAGTGAAAGAGCAAGATTCTGTGACAAAATTAAAAAACAAAAAACAAAAAAAAACAACACCTTTTACTAACCAGTTGATTGTATTCCAGTGAAGGCTAATGCAATTTTTTTTTTTTTTTGATACAGAGTCTCATTCTGTCTCCCAGGCTGGAGTGCAATGGTGCTATCTTGGCTCACTGCAGCCTCCACCTCTTGGGTTCAAGCAATTCTCCTGCCTCAGTCTTCCAAGTTGCTGCAATTACAGATATGCACCACCACGCCTGGCTAATTTTTGTATTTTTAGTAGGGACAGGGTTTTGCCCTGTTGGCCAGGCTGCTCTCAAACTGCTGATCTCAGGTGATTCACCTGCCTCAGCCTCCTGAAGTGCTGGGATTTACAGGTGTGAGCCTCCGCACTTGGCCCAATGCCAAATGTATCCAATAGTCTTTGATTCCAGAATTACTTATAATAGAACACTACATCATCTACAGAAATCTTGATCAATAATCTAGATAATTTCGTTTCTAGAGGCTGAGGCAGAAGAATCACTTGAACCCAGGAAGCGGAGGTTGCAGTGAGCCAAGATCACTACACTGCACTCCAGCCTGGGTGACAGAGCAATACTGCGTCTCAAAAAAAGTAAAGTAAAAAGTAAAGTAAAGTAAAGTAAAGTAAAGTAAAGTAAAGTAAAAAGGAAAGTAAAAAGGAAAGTAAAAAGGAAAGTAAAAAGGAAAGGAAAGGAAAGGGCATTAAATAATAAAAAGTTGTAATTGGGACTATTAAAATATTTAAACATTCAAGGTTCCATCTTAAATCTTTTATTAAATCTGCTTTTAATAAAAGATAATCTAGTTTCCAGATTATTGATCAAGATTTTTGTAGATGATGTAGTATATGTAACATTTTTGTGTATGATATCAATCAAGATTTCTTAGAAGATCTAGAAACTAAAATGCATATTAAGAAACTAAAACTTACATCTCATAACCAATTATCTTTCTAAATAATTTACAAACATAAAATATACAATATTATTTAAAATAAATATACATATAATACATAATGTCTACATTCTCATACAGGCTTAAAAATGAGGTAATAAAAACTGATTAAACCTTTTACCACTCTGAAAATGGCTTAGGAAAATGATGGTGAAATATCTTTTTCTTAGGTCTTCATTTTTTCTTTCAATACTTCTAAGTACCTCTTTTTCTATGCTGAAAAATTATGTAAAAAATCCCTGAGCTTTGTTGGATAGTCTGTCATCACCCCAGTTGCTCCCAAATCAAAAGCTCTTTTGTATTCTTGTTCTTCATTTAATACCCAAATATACACCTGAAAATTAGAAGTGTGAGAAGTATGAGAATAAATGTTAAAATACAAAATTATTTTTATAACAGTATCCACTACAATCTTGGTACATTTAGAAATAACCTTTTAAAGCTGTCATTTAAAGAAATCATTAGATCCTTTTTTAAAACTCCACTTTGTTCCTTACAGAAATGAGAGATGTTAAAAAAAAAAAAAATTCACTGTGCTCATTAAATATACACTGTCCCGGCCGGGCACAGTGGCTCACACCTATAATTCCAGCACTTTGGGAGGCTGAGGCAGGCAGATCACCTGATGTCAGGAGTTTGAGACCAACTCTGCTAACATGGCGAAACCCAGTCTCTACTAAAAATATAAAAATTAGTCAGTAGTGGTGGCACACGCCTGTAATCCCAGCTACTTAGGAGGTTGAGGCATGAGAATCGCTTGAACTCAGGAGGTAGAGGTTGCAGTGAGCCGAGACTGCACCACTGCACTCAGCCTGGGTAACAGAGTGAGACTCCATCTCAAAAAAAGAGGAAAAAAAATTTTATACACACACACACACACACACACACACTGTCCCAACCCTCTGGCATCAGCTATTCTGTACATAAGAGGAACCTAGCTTCAGAAATGCTAATCCTTCATTGCTAACTGTAAGGAAGAGCTTAAAGGTCCTCATCTGTGGGTCAGTAAAGCAGTATCATCAGAGGCAGGGGCCAAACTAAGTCAGTTAAAAGTTATTGCTCTTTATATTCATGTTAAACTGGTGAGCTATGCTGCTTCCAAAATGTATCATTCCAAAAACTTACTTGAATGCCTCGAGCAGTCAGGTGGTCAAACAAAGCTTTCCTCATTAGTAAACTAGAAAAGAAAAAGTATAACTGTTTCAGGAATTTAGTCCTTAGTCCTAATTGAGTCAATTAGAATTTAGTAATTCCTAGTTTAATTCCAATGCTTCACCAATAAAATAAATGGTCTCAAGTAATACTGGCTGCTGTGAATTAATTTATGTCTTAATTGCTGGATCACCTTTCACTGCGGGCTGCTGACTGGTGGACAACCAGAACCTCCTTTTCACTCCTTGCTGCTACCAGATTTGTAGGAGACTCATTCTTGTTGACACAGCTCAATGGAAAAGAGGCTGCCTCATTTTCACTGCTGAAGAAGGAGAAAGAACTGGCTTTCCTTTCTTACTATTAATATGTGTTCCTGACTTTCCAAGTTAAAATAAGTCAGAAAATGCAGGTCAATTTCTATAACATCATAGTTCAGTTACATAATGGATTAGTCTTTTGTAAGCTATGTTGGAAGCATTATATCCGTTAATTATACTATCCTATGTCTAGGGAAAAAAACATTTTTTTGTTTCAAGTAACTCACTGATAAGTGAACTTTCAGAATACAAATCTCTTGAGCAAGATAGGAATTCATTGTACTGGAAAGATATATACATTATTTCTATTCTGTTGTAGCTATTAGAATGATTAAATAACAGAAAGTACAACTCATGTGCTCTTAACACCAATTAAAAAATGCATCCTTGTCAGTTAATAGGGTTGAAAAAAGAAAAAAAAAATGCATCCTTAAAAACTGGAGCTTAAATCAGGAACAAAGCAAAAAATAATAAACACTGACAAAAAGAAAAGATAAAACTAACTGTTTAAGACTCTTTGAAAAAGGCGTTAAGGCTGGTTGCGTTGGCTCACACCTGTAATCCCAGCACTTTAGGAGGCTAAGGTGGGCAGATCACTTGAGGCCAGGAGTTTGAGACCAACGTGGCCAACATGATGAAACCTCATCTCTACTAAAAAATACAAAAATTATACGATGTTCGTTGCGGGCAAAAAAAAAAAAAAAATTAGGTGTGGTGGCAGGTGTCCATAGTCCCAGCTACTCAGGAGGCTGAGGCTGAAGAATCACTTGAACCTAGGAAGGGGAGGTTGCAGTGAGCCGAGATTGCTACACTGCACTCCAGCCTGGGCAATAGAGTGAGACTTTGTCTCAAAAAAAAAAAAAAAAAGGTGTTAAATAATAAAAAGTTGTGATTTGGGACGATCAAAATATTTAAGCATTCAAGGTTCCATCTTAAAGCAAAATATAGTACAATTGTGATTTTTACTAAAATTAAACCCATCATGTCTAAATTAAAGCATTTTCTTTAAAGTTGATATTCACTCTATAGATGGGATTTCCTTTCTGCTGTTAAGTCTTGGTGCAGAGCAGATTTTTCTGAGAAATGTGCTGTAGGCAACACATACTTTTATATATACTGTGTTGCTATACTTCTTTTCACCATGCTTTGTGGAAACAGCAAGTAAGCAAAAAGGAATGGTTATTTATTCTAGTACTGCTACTAACTAGCTAGACAACCCCAAGTAAATAATTTAACTGAGTATATGGGGGCTCACTTTTCTCATGAAGTTGGATGGGATTATCTCTCAAGATTCTTCCTAAGGTTTTGTGATTAGTTATTAAGATAGTTCTAAATAATTCCTATACATTTTGTATAGTAGGTGCTCAATTTGTCCTTGTTACAAATTACATGTGGTAAGCCTGCACTAAATTTTAAGTGTAGTATTTAATAAATATGGCTGAAGCAATAACTTGCATATTAAGAAACTAAAATTCTTACAGATCAGAAAGCCAGATGAGAAACTTTTGACTTCTGGACATGGTGTGTGGTTCTTTTAGCCTAGGGTAAAATAAAGTTTGAATTACAAATTAGAAACACAGAATATATTAGTGTGATACAATAAAACAAATTCAAGAATGAAAACAGTGCCTTGTACTTTGTATATTCTCAAAAAATATTTGTAAAAATTATAAAAACAAAATAAAGTCCAGTTGGATTCTGTTTCCACTGGTCTCAAGCTAACTTTTTGCTATCCCTATTCAAAAGTAATAAATAAATTTAAAAATAAATAAACGAATGTCTTTCCAGAGACCCTGGTGCCCTGGGCTCAAGTCTCTTCTTTTCTGATGAAATCTTTCTCCTGCTTTGTCTGCTACAATTTAGTATGTGGTAGATTTTAACATACAACGAAACTGTACTATAGATTAAAGTGAGCTGTTTACCGCATGTTTTCCTTTCCTTTAAAATATCTGTAGGCAGGCCAGCCACGGTGGCTCACGCCTGTAATCCTAGCACTTTGGGAGGCCAAGGTGGGTGGATCACCTGAGGTCAGGGGTTCAAGACCAGCCTGGCCATCACGGTGAAACCCCATCTTAATAAAAAAATAAATAAATAAATAATAAAATAAAATATCTGTAGGCATGGTGGCTCATGCCTGTAATCCCAGCTCTTTGGGAGGCCTAGGCAGGTGGATTACCTGACAAACCAGACCAGCCTGACAAACATGGTGAAACCCTGTCTCTACTAAAAACATAAAGATTAGCCAGGCAAAAAAAAAAAAAAAAAAAAAAAAAATGTATATCTGGGCCAGGCATGTTGGCTCATGCCTGTAATCCCAGCAATTTGGGAGGCCAAGGTGGGCAGATCACTTGAGGTCAGGAGTTAAGAGACCAGCCTAGCCAACATGGTGAACCCCTGTTTCTACTAAAAATACAGAAAAATTAGCCAGGCATGGTGGTAGGCACCTGTAATCCCAGCTACTCGGGAGGCTGAGGCAGGAGAATTGCTCGAACCTGGGAGGCAGAGGTTGCAGTGAGCCAAGATTGTGCCTGAGCGACAGAGTGAAACTCCATCTCAAAAAAAAAAAAAAAAAGTGCTAAATAAAGTACAGGTTCTTTTTTCCCTAACTCTGGCCCCAATGGAAAGTCCTGGCTGCAATTTCAGGAATCTTAAAGACTTAGTACCTCAAATACTGATTACCTCCATAAACAATGAATGTTGTCTTAGGAAGTATCCATTGTTTTCCATAGAAGTATTAAAACACAGGAAAGATATCCTACCTGTGTCTTAATCCATAATCACTTTTTAGAGAAAAGATTAATTCTATAGCGTTTGTTCTTATGTCTGTATTTCAATAATACTTGCTTCTAAAAAGAACACATGAAGATAAACATAGAGTAAACAGTCTACCCCAGGCCAGAAGAAAGCTAAGTAGTTTAGGAATAAATGTTTATTTATTTATTTATTTTTAGATGGAATCTTGCTCTGTTGCCCGGGCTGGAGTGCAATGGTGCCATCTCAGCTCACTACAAGCCCTACCTCTGGGGTTCAAGTGATTCTCCTGTCTCAGCCTCCTGAGTAGCTGGGACGTGTGGCGTACAGGTGTGCGCCACCACGTCCAGCTAACTTTGTATTTTTAGTAGAGATGGAGTTTCACCATGTTGGCCAGGCTGGTCTGGAACTCCTGACCTCAGATGAACCACCCACCCCCTCCCCAGGCCTCTCAAAATGCTGAGATTACAGGTATGAGCCACCTCCTTTGGCCAGGAATAAATGATTAAGGATCACTTTAATCTAGCAAATAAAATAGGGTTTTTTTCTGGTAGATAAGAAGTGTTTTCTATTGTTTTGTCAATAGAATAGGGAGGCTGACGCAGGAGAATCGCTTGACCCTGGGAGGCAGAGGCAGAGATTACAGTGAGTCGAGATAGCACCATGCACTCCAGCCTAAGCGACAAGAGCGAAACTCTGACTCAAAAAAAGAGACATCCTATATAAACTTTTCTTTTCCTATCTCCAGAGGTTTTTATGGTAGAGGCGGTGGTGGTTTTTCTTCCTAAATGTATTACAGTAATACCGTTTTTTAATTTGGAGTTTAATGGAGTTTCAGCTGGGTAAAGCTGTCAATGAAGTAGAAAGTAGTAGGGGAAAGTGGAGGGCAACTGTTATTTGATGTGAGAATAAAAGAATTATTGATTTTCTGTAATTAAACTAAATTCTTTTTATCTGATTTCTGACTATACAGACACAGAAAACCATCATAATCTAAACTGGGTCCTGATTATTTGTTTTAGAGAATGTGTCTTAATTACATAAAAATTCATAATATAGGTCAGGTGATAGAACATGGAAATCACTACAGAAATCTCTTCTTCATCATTGATACTGATATTAGTGAGCTTTTACCTTAGTCCTTCTGTAATTGATAATTGATTTTAAAATAAAAGAGTAACCACTTACTTCAGTATAATAGAAGGCATTGGGATTTCAAAAAACTGTTCTCGAATGGGCACAAAGGGCAAGAGGCCAGTGAAGAAAAGGCCAAGAATGAGCAGGACACGTTGTAGACTGAACAGTATGGGAATATCTGAATTCTAAAAGACACAAACAATATTACATGTTGCTTTTACAACTGCTCAAATAAAGAGGGTTACTTCACAACTTTCAATATTTCCCAAGGCTATATTTGACATCCATTACAAGCATTCCCTGGATTATAAATATTCATTTTCAAATACACCACGCTTAAAAGTGGCTAGTCCTTGATAAATGGGTCAGGGTTGATATTGGAGCCTTACAGTGTAACGATGTTACTAAAGTTTCTCTATTACCTTCTCTGCTTTTGCAATACCGCTTGTCTGTTGGTTACAGTACTTAGAGCTAAAGACTAAACATGTCAGAATCCAATGTAACAAAATGAAAAGATGAATATATGGAATATTCAATAACTTTACTTCTGTTTAAAAAATATATAGCTACATATCTCCATATATGAGTATATATATAGATACATATCAATACTGTTGGAAATGTCATCTTTTAGCTATGTTATGAATCAAATATCAAATATAAATAGGATTTTGTAAACTAGTCCAAGAATCTAACCACCATTTTAAGTTTCTATTGGAAATGTGTTCAATATCCCAAAACTTTTAAAATGCAAGATAGACATATATACAAACACACTTTTAATTGTGCCAAAATACACATAACGGTTTAAGATCTTTTTTTTTTGAGATGTAGTCTCACTCTGTCACCCAGGCTGGAGTGCCACTCTGTCACCCAGGCTGGAGTGCAGTGGCACAATCTCAATTCACCTCAACCTCCACCTCCCGGGTTCCAGCAATTCTCCTACCTCAGTCCCCCAAGTAGCTAAGATTACAGGCCTGTACCACCATGCCAGGTTAATTTTTTTATATTTTTAGTAGTGACAGGGTTTCACTATGTTGGCCAGGCTGGTCGTAAACTTCTGACCTCAGGTGATCCACCTGCCTCGGGCTCCCAAAGTGCTGGGATTACAGGCATGAGCCACCATGCCCAGCCAAAATTTAAGATCTTTTTTTTTTTTTTTCCAACAAGAAGCCATAAATTTATTTATGATAGAAACAATACAAATTTCAAACAAAGCTGCAGTTACTCCTTTGAGACACCAAAAAAAGTTGCTTTCAGATGGTTACATTGTTAATTTCATAATAGCATTTACAATATCATTACTGCTGTTCTTCAGGGCTCGGACTGCCTTTGCTCTCTACACATTTGCTTGTGACATGACCAGTTCTATGTCTTTAACTTCTACACCTGCTTCATCGACCTCTTCCTCTTCACTCTCCTCTTGTGCAGTTGGAGTCTGTGTGTTTTCTTGAATGTTTGAGACAGCTTCACCTTGAACTTTGAATTTCTCAGCAGCTACTAGTTGTGCTTGCTGAGATGAATCTTCGATCTTGGCTTCCCCAAACACTATGTAGGTATCCGAAGCAGGGCTCTTGTAGACATCTGGTTTTGTGATGACAAAGAGGATATTCTTAGATTTCCGGATAGTGACTCTAGTAACTCCTGTAAACTCCTGTCGAAGACCCAGTTTGGACATAGCCTTCCGTGCCTTCTTTTCGCTTCGACTCTGTTTTGCTTTACTGATGGGTTCTTCATCTATCTCAGCTGCTGCCGCCAGCTGAGCTTGTTGTGTGGTTGCCTGGGTGGAGTCCTGTTCTTCAAGCTCTGGTACTGATTCATCACTGTCAGATTCTGTTCCAGATCCTGTCTCAGCCTGGGGCTGCGGCAACTCCTGCTCTGTAGCAGGGACGGTTTCTGTGGCTTCGCCAGGCATTTTGTGCAGAGAACGCGGAATCAAGATGGCGGCCAGATCTTAATCTTTTTTATTTATTTTTCACCTCCCCCAACTCCTGCCCCCCAGCAAAATTGAATGTTAACCATTTAAAAAAAATAAATTTTTTTATTTTTTTTTTTTTATTTTTAAGACGGGGTTTCACCGTGTTGGTCAGGCTGGTCTTTAACTCCCAACCTCAGGTGATCCGCCCGCATTGGCCTCCAAAGTGCTTGGATTACAGGCGTGAGCCACCACGCCCGGGCCTTTTTTTTTTTTTTTTTAAATGTCAATCATTTTTATTTTTATTTATTTATTTATTTATTTTGAGATGGAGTTTCGCTCTTGTTACCCAGGCTGGAGTGCAATGGCGCGATCTCGGCTCACCGCAATCTCCGCCTCCTGGGTTCAGGCAATTCTCCTGCCTCAGCCTCCTGAGTAGCTGGGATTACAGGCACGCACCACCATGCCCAGCTGATTTTTTGTAGTTTTAGTAGAGACGGGGTTTCACCGTGTTGACCAGGATGGTCTCGATCTCTTGACCTTGTGATCCACCCGCCTCGGCCTCCCAAAGTGCTGGGATTACAGGCGTGAGCCACCGCGCCCGGCCAATGTCAATCATTTTTAAATGAAGTTTGGTGGTTTCAGTATATTCACACTGTTGTGCAACCAAAGTCCAAAGTCTTTTCATTTTGCCAAACTGAAAACAACTCTATGCATCTTTTTTCTTTTCTTTTCTTTTCTTTTTTTTTTTGAGACAAGGTCTCACTGTCAACCAGGATGGAGTGCAGTGGGACAACCAAAGCTCACTGCATTCTCGACCCTGGCTCAGGCAATACTTCCATCTCAGCCTCCTGAATTATAATAGATGGGACTACAGGTGTGAGCCACCACGTCCAGCTAATTTTTGTATTTTTTTTATAGAGATGAGGTTTCACCATGTCACCCAGGCTGGTCTTGAACTCCTGGGCTCAAGCAATTCACCTGCCTCAACCTCTCAAAGTGCTGGGAGTATGGGTGTGAGTCACCTCGCCCAGCCAACTTTATACCATTAAACAACAAATCTCCATTCCCTCTCTCCTTGTCCTCATATGTACATATGATAGACCCATGTGTTTACACACACACACACACACAGAGAGAGAGAGAGAGAGATAGATAAATGATAGATAGATATTACACGGGGTCTCGCTCTGTCAACCAGGCTAGAGTACAGTGACCAGATCATGGCTCACTGAAGTCTAGACCTCCCAGACCCAAATGATCCCACACTTTTTTTTTTTTTTTTTTTTTGAGGCGGAGTTTCGCTCTTGTTGCCCAGGCTGGAGTGCAATGGCGCGATCTCGGCTCACCGCAACCTCCACCTCCTGGGTTCAGGCAATTCTCCTGCCTCAGCCTCCCGAGTAGCCGGGACTACAGGCACGCGCCACCATGCCCAGCTAATTTTTTTTTGTATTTTTAGTAGAGACGGGGTTTCACCATGTTGACCAGGATGGTCTCGATCTCTTGACCTTGTGATCCACCCGCCTTGGCCTCTCAAAGTGCTGGGATTACAGGCGTGAGCCACCGCACCCGGCCGTGATCCCACACTTTAGCCTCCCACACAGCTGGGACTTCAGACACATGCCACCATGCCAACCTAATTTTTCAAAAATTTTTTGTAGAGTCAGAATCTCATTATATTGCCCAAGCTAGTCTTGAACTCCCAGGTCCAAGCATTTCTCCCACCTCAGCCTCCCAGAGTGCTGGAATGACAAGTGTGAGCTACCATGGCAGGCCCTGCTATATTTATTTTTAAAAAAACAAAAATTATGCTTACATTAAACTTTTAATAAAAACATATTTCTAAAATCACATAAAAGTAATTTATTTTATTTATTCATTTTTTTAAGATGGGGTTTCATCATGATGGCCAGGCTGGTCTTGAACTCACCTCAGGTGATCCACCCACCTCAGTCTTCCAAAGTGCTAGGATTACAGGCGTGAGTCACCACGCCCGGCCTAAAAGTAATTCATTTCAAATAATTAGCTCTAGGCTGGTCGTAGTAGCTCACGCCTGTAATCCTAGCACTTTGGGAGGCTGAGGCAGGCGGATCACTTGAGGTCATAAGTTCAAGACCAGCCTGGCCAACATGGTGAAACCCCATCTCTACCAAAAATATAAAAATATAAAAATTAGCTAGGTGTGGTGGCATACGGTGGTAACCCCAGCTATTCGGGAGGCTGAGGCAGGAGAATCACTTGAACCTGGGAGATGGAGGTTGCAGTGAGCTGAGATCACACTACTACACTCCATCCTGGGTGACAGAGCAAGACTCTGTCTCAAATAAAACAATAAATAAATAACTAGTTCTAAATTATCCTCTTCTTTGTTTTAAAAAAATAGAGTAAATAAGTTTGAGAATTTATTTTGCCCCTTTGTGACATGGTGCTTTGTAATGTTTTTGGCTTACTTAATACAGGTGTTTCAGTTGTAACACAATGTACAAGTCACTGAAAAATCCTGAGTTCTGCAAATTCATACAGTAAGCATAACAGAGCTTATGAGAAAAACAGGGTTAGGGGCTGACCCTCAAAACTTAAGGCCGGCATGGTGGCTCACACCTATAATCCCAGCACTTTGGGAGGCTGAGGTGGGTGGATCACTTGAGTTCAGGAGTTTGAGACCAGCCTGGCCTCAATAATAATAAGAATAAGAAGAAATTATTCTTAGTAGAATACTTTTAGTACTCTACTAAGAATACAAAAATTAGCCAGGCATGATGGCCGGTGCTTGTAATCCCAGCTACTCTGGAGGCTAAGGCAGGAGAATCACTTGAACCTGGGAGATGGAGGTTGCAGTGAGCTGAGGTTGCACCACTGCACTCCATTGTGGGCAAGAGTGAGACTGTCTCAAAAAAAAAAAAAAAAAAAAAACTTGGCTGGGCACAACTGGCTCATGCCTGTAACCCCAGCCAGCACTTTGGCAGGCTGAGGTGGGTGGATCACTTGAGGTCAGGAGTTCAAGACCAGCCTGACCAACACGGAGAAACCCCATCTGTACTAAAAAATACAAAAATTAGCTGGGTGTGGTGGTGGGATCTGTAATCCCAGCTACTCGGGAGGCTGAGACAGGGGAATTGCTTGAACCCACAAGGAGGAGGTTGCAGCGAGCCAAGATTGCACCACTGCACTCCAGCCTGGGCAACAGAGCAACACTCTGTCTCAAAAAATAAAATAAAATAAACTTATGCAACTTTGGAACCAGAGCACTAAAAAAAAAAAAGAAAAAGA